AAGAGAACTGTAATTACAATTATCCTGTGAGCCTTAGTCAAAGTAAACTAAGTCAGTCACTCGCTAATACACACTGGATAGTCCACCAAGCTCCCAGATAGGGAACCTTGGTGTGTTATTTTATAGTCATGTGTGGATATTTACTGGTAATTACCATATTCTGTACAGTACTGTACTGTTGTTCACAGACTTTTTTTTTCTATTGTGCTTCATTGATGTTTGTTTCTGTGGTAACTATAGTAAATAATGTTTGTAAATATATGGAAGGGTTCTACCTGTACTGTACAGTTTATTTCTCTTAGATTCTCAGTATAGAGAATTGAACTGATTTCTTCCTTACCTAAAACCTTGTATCTAAGTGGTTCTGTAACTAATGCTTCTTACATAATTAATGAACATCCTCCCTACCTCTCATGCTCAAGTAACTGACCCTCCTCAAATTTGTATACATTCATTTTGACTTCCCTTATCTATATATGGAACGAGGGTTTAATAACAGCATTCCTCTACTCTGCCCTGGTTGTTAAACATTTCCCACATCCATTGAATTATTTCTCCCCATCTTTTAATCACTACATATACCCTACTACTGGTACATACGCTGTACACCCCCTGACTTACTATTTCTTACATGCAGTACTACTTGTATCACCTGCCTTACTGTAATGTTTTCTCCATGGTATGTCATTCATTCTCTCCTAATTTCTAGTCCTCTTGTAGCTAGTACTTATATGTTTTCTCTTGCCTACATCATATCTACTAAATCGCTTAAAATAAATTTTCCAGTTTTCTTTTAATTTTCTCATCAACGTCGTCCAATCCTTTTCCAAAACACCTCCCTCTCTTGGACACATGTTGGTGGTACAGTGGGAACACACTTCTCTCTCACTGCTGTGTCATGGGCTTGAGTCTTAGCCTAGACACACACATGGGAAAGACCAGTGTGACCGTACCAATATTAGCAGGTTTCCTCTGGGTACTCCGGTCTCCTCCTGCACTAACACTGGACATTAAATTTTATAACAAAGAAACAAAGAATAGATGAAGTGCCTGAAAAGCTAGCAAGCTGATAAGTGGTCAATTGATAAATTTAAATACCCCCTGTATATACAGTATATTGTCCATGAAAATTAACCCTCTTCACTGAAGTTTTCATATGACCTCGTCTCAAAATCCTTGTCTACATTAAATCTTTTACCATTTTGTTTTTACCCTCTTAATCCCAGCTTTATACTCTACTCCTTTATTTTATTAATATTTTTCAGTAGCAACCAGTAAACCTTTAATTTCATTCCTTAGTCTTGTCTATTGCTCCATAGATGTCTCAAAGCCTTGATTCCACCAAGCTGTTCCTATTTCCACATTCATTATCATCAAAACACAGCCTCTAGTAGTCTAGTTTAACTCCACAACACTTCATTTGTCATAACTTGGAGTACTGCTCTCATATCTGGGTTGGCTCTTCTTCTGTCCATCTGTTAGAAAGGTGGAATCAAAGGCATTTCGTCTTATTGACTCTCCTCCTTTAGTTGATAATCTTTCTTCCCTTTCTTTTCGCTGCAATGTTGCTTCACTCTCTCTCTCTTACAGGTACTACTTTAATGGACAATGTTCGGTGGATTTGGCATCCTGTGTACTGTCAGCAAGGCTGTGGGCTCGTAACACTCGTCTTGCCCGCAGTGCCCACCGTTTCTCTGTGGATGTCAGTCACACTAGAATAACCCGTTATAGTACATCCTTCTTTCCTCACACAACCAAACTGTGGAATGCTCTGCCTCACTGTCTCACTTCAAAAAGCTGTAGATTACAGTAATCTTTTTCTTTACTCTTATTTTTTCCCCCTAGGCCCCATTTTGGGTCAATGGCCTGTGCCCGGGTGGGCTATTCCCCGTAAAAAAAAGAAAAAGTTAAGAAGAATGTGGGTGTATGACTGCAAGGGAAGGTGCAGTGGCTGATGTTTGGTTAAGGTCAACCATATCTTTATTATTAATCCTACTCTTTGTGGAAAGAGAAAGAATAAAATAATTCTTGAATTAATATGATTTGTATTTCATGAAGACCAATGAGGATCAGGTTTATAAAATACAGAACAAAGAAAGATTTATTTTGCTTCTATAAAGAAAAATATTTTGGTTTCTTGGGTCTTGGCCAGAAGTCATTTTTGTCTTGTATTTTAGATCAAGTTATTTACATTTTTTGTTTCAGGTTTAGTGATGGGTTGATCTTTGGAAGAGGGAGGTACAAGATGTGTTCTGCAGGAGGAAACAGCAACACTAGTGGGGGAGGAGACAAGGGAGATGGAAGAGGTGCAGAAGCAGAGAGTGGGAGTGGACAGAGTCTGGGACCAGAGGAGTACACCAGACTGGCCCGTGATGGTATTCAACTGATGCTCAACAACAGATTCACCGAGGCAGAAGAACTCTTCCGTCACCACACACAAGATAATCTCCACATGGCAATGGGCCACTGTTACCTCACCTTTATGGTAGGCTGTGACAGCAGTCAATATTAGATTTTCAGATTTTCTCTTTTGTTTTAATCTGAATCTGAGTAGACATTTGTAGTCTTGCTTATTATTGTTTTTTAATTGACATCTGTAACTGTTTGTGTTTTATCCCCTATTAAAGTTTGGAGTATATACTTTCTTCATACTGTAATGTATTACCTTGGGCTTAGGAGACTATACAGAGGCAAATTCATCATTGCAAGGAAAGAATTATAGCAAATGTTACTTTATTAGTTTACTGCATAGGTACAATATGTATATAAATAATTCTTGTGTATTTATTTTAGAATGCAGTCATGTCTTTTGAGGAGGAGAAGGTGACATACAGCATGGAAACACTACGAAGCATGGAGAGGAGGTGTGGCGGAGGAGAAAATGGATGGTTCTCCTCTGTTAAGAGCATTGTCATGGGGTCAAGGAATGGCCAAGAACAGGTGTGTCATTTACAGATATTGGCTGCTGTGTGGGTTACAGTACACATACGTATATTGTTTCTTATTTTAATTTTCATTGTAAAATGTAGTTTCTGCAGTATCTTGTCAGAGAAGGATATATATATATATATATATATATATATATATATATATATATATATATATATATATATATATATATATATATATATATATATATATATATATATATATATATATATATACACACACATACATATACAGTATATATATTACAGTATTAAGGAATAATAGTATCATCACCATACACCAAATTCTAAGTTTGTTGTTTTTTATTATTTTGGTTGCCTTCCAACTTTTCTGTTTATTGCATTTTTAGTTTACCCCTGTCATTCCATCATTAGGGAGAGGAACCAGGCTCACAGCTGGAGCAGCAGGTGATTCTAGCTGACTGTCAGGTACTTCTGGCCATCCTCACATTCCTCCAACAAGAGATTGGTTCATACGTCAAAGGAGGTTGGGTGTTACGCAAAGCATGGAAGGTCTATGAGCATGCTTACACCAAGGTCAAGAGATTGTATAAGCAAACATTTGGTGAAGCCCAAGATGTGCCTCCTAGTAAGTAACTTACCAACAACTTGTCCATTTTTAATCGTAGTTATAATATACAAGAGGTCCCTGACTTACGGCACTCAAAATACGAACGGGGTTAAACTTGAAATTTACAGTACGTATATTATTTGCCTGATGACATATTTTTTTACTTTCGTTTACTGTATTTTGTCATTCTGTTTCTTCTTTTGTCTTAAATTAAGTGATTTTAGATGTATACTGTATAAGGACTTAGGCTATGATATAGTGGGATTTTAAATTGTTTTGTAAGTATGGTATGCATATAGCATGTGTTCCGACTTTGGAACATCCTCAGGAACAGAACTCATTTGTTACCCAGGGACCCCCTGTACAGGTATAGAACTGTAATCAGTTTTTCTACCAAGGGTGGGGGAGGGGGTAAGGGTTATGATTGCCCCTTCAATTGAACTTAAGGTGAGATACCCATTGAACTTGATAGGTGACATTTAAAAAATTACATATATTTTACCAACAGAAAGTTTAAACAAACTCATTTAAGAAATGAAATTGCCTTAGGTTCAATCCTTGGGTCAGATGTAAGATGTGTTATCACTAAATAATGCAGATTTTTACAGGTACTCCAGTTTCTTCCTCTCCTAAAACTGGACAATGGCGGTCATACTAAAAAACAGACTAGTAAGCTGAAAACTGGTGGGATTGAAATATTTATAAAAAAATTTATGTCTAACTGTTGACTGCAGTACAATACTGATGCTGTGACTGGCAGTACCGTGCTGCAGCTGTAAGGTGTTACACCTGTACCTATATTGGTGGTGTTACATAAAATTTCAAGTGTAATTTAATTTTTTTTTATTGAAAATATTGTACTCTGTATGATTATTTTGTTTGGAGAGCAATACAATTTGAAAACAAGTGCAGGGCATCCTGGCTTAACGTCGGGGTTATGTTCCTGAAAACGCGACATTAAGCAGATCAATTTTCCCCATAAGAAATAGATAAAATACGGGAGTTACGTTCCTGAACCTCCCTTTGCCCCATGAAAAAAGTTACATATGCAGAAAATTATTACCATTTCTATAGAGAATAGTATATAGAACTACAGTACTAAGTTTATATTGGTACTCACTGATGGACGGAGGTGGTAGAGCGAGTGTGTGGTGAGAAGTGGAGCGAAGGAGGAGGATGGCGGGAGTGGAGGAGGAGGGTGGGAGCAGAGAAGGGCGGGAGAGGAGGGTGGTAGCGGAGAAGGGCGGGAGAGGAGGGTGGTGAGTCACTGAGACTGCAGCTGTCTCCTCCCCCTGCTCTGACTGGGGTTCTTCTCCCGCTGGTTGCTCCTCCTCGGCTGCCGGCTGTTGTGAAGAAGCTCGTGCCGTCCCGTGACGAAAAAATGAACCCAGTGTTGACTGCTTGGTGCTACTCATCTTCTTCTCCTTACAGATTTCGGTGTAGCAACCAAGACTGTTCTCAATGCTGCATTGAACTTTTGAGCTACGTTCTCTGTTTGTCATCATCTTGAAGCATTTGCATTGCTTGCTGGAACATGTTCAACGATTCTGCCAACCTCTTTGAAGTTAGCGTCATGAGCTGTCTTCTTCGTCGTCTTCAACGGGACTGTGTTCTGTTAATTGTTGCAGATCTTGTTGGTGAGCTCTTCTGTATGGGATGCCAGGACGCTCAATATCCTCTGATTCCAGCTCATCAAAGCCTGCCTGTCTAGCCAAGCTGAGGATATCCCATTCACAGCTGGGCTTAAGTTCGTGAATCCGTGAAAACTGTTGACGACTCGGCTACAGTGTTATGCCACACACCATTCAGGCAACTTCTGAAACCTCTTCCTATGCCTTGCCAATGTTGTCAATTGCATGAAGAATGTTGAAGCCGCCAATATTCTCGGATCGTTGGTTTATTTTCCGCCTGTAGCCTTGAGCAGCTGGGCCTTGGTACCGCGTAAATAATACCTTAGAGGCGGCGCTGACGCCTGGTCCATAGGCTGCATCAGTGCTCTTGTGTTGGGAGGCAGGAATACAACTTTACACTGTCGCAAGTAGTCGAGATTGGGAGGATGAGGTGGAGCATTGTCAAGGATCAGAAGAATTTTGAAGTTAGGTTCTCCTTGGCACAGTATTCTTTCAGTGTAGGGATGGCATACACGCTAACAACTATGGCGCCAGTTATCCATGCCTTTTTGTTTGCCTTGTAAATGACAGGAAGGTGATCCTCAGAGTAACCTTTCAGGGCCCGTGGGTTGGCAGCGCGAGAAATCATCACAGGCTTCAGCTTGAAGTCACCGGCGCACGCAAGCAGCAGCATCAAGCTGTCTTTGCTGCTTTAAAATGTGTTTCTTCTCTCCTGGTGATATAGGTCCCCAGGCATCCTCTTCCAAAAGAGACCAGTCTCATCCACATTGAAGAATTTGCTTCAGTGAGTAGCCTCCTTGCTGGATAATGTTTGAATTCTGGCGGAATGTCCCGGCAGCAACCGATTCGAACTGGCAGCTTCACCAGTCATCTTAATATTGTGGAAGTTATGACGATGCTTAAACGTTGAAACCATCTTCGCTGGGTCAAAGATCTCTTCCTTCGCTCCTTCACCTCTTCTGCCTTTTTAAGTCGTCAAATAGGGATCTGGCCTTATGCTGGATAACCATAAGGCTCACAGGGGCATTGCATTGATTCTGGTCCTCCATATACATTGCCAGCATCTTTTCCACCTTCTCTATCACAGTGTTTAGTATGAGTCGTCTTTGTAGCACTCAAAGAAGAACCACTTCACAGCACTAACATTAACCTTGTCAACGTTGGTCTGGATAAGACGCACTGTTCTGGGGTTAGACCACACAGCGGCTATGTCCATAGCATCGCCCCTTTTTCAAAAAACGGTTAACACAGTACCTCCATTTTTGTAGCAAGGTAATGGTCTTACGCTGCCTCTTCACTACACTAGCATTAGTAGCACTTGATAGGCACTTGGCCATTTTAATGGTTAGAGTACAGTTTTAGAGCAAAAACACTTAAGCACGCATCTAATGATGTGAAGTCGTAACAGAGACTGGCTTAGGCCGCTGGGGGCACTGTGACGTTCATGAGTGAGGCACCGAGCCGAGAGAGAGGCTGCCAGAGAAGAGCGGTGATGCGTCGAGAAAGTAGTCCGGACGCACGCAAAACAAAGTAGTATCGGATTACGACGTTTAACAAATTTTGGTCTCTAAAGTTCAGCGACATAATACTGAAACAATGTTAAGCGAGGACTTGCTGTAATTTGTACAGTATATATGAGTTTAAAAAAATTCAACTTCAGGATCATACATCTGTTGGTAAAGTGAAAGCTTCTGCTTCAGCCCAAACAGATGAGCCACCACCGAACTTCAGTCTTATTTGAAATTTTGCTGTATTTTATTTTAATTTTACAATTATTGTTTTGTTTTATGCAGTGACTATTGCTTGAAAATAATAAAAAATAGTAGAATTAAGTCTGGCCAAATGAGCAACTTCATTTGGTTGAACATGCTGTTAATTTGAAAGTTAATTATAGGGTAGGAGGTCCCTAGATATTGCCAGAAATTGGGAGTTGCCTGTCGATGGAGTGCAGTACAGGTATTGTATAAGAGATAAGAGAGAATCAACCAGTAAAATTAGACTGGTGTTGATGTGGTCATTGAGAAAGATGGTTTTATTGGAGAGAACTGAAAAGTGGATACTGCAATGAGAGGGACAAGGCTGACATGCTGTTGTTAAGTGGTAAATTGAGAGGATGGGAAGGTGATTAAGAGTCTAGAAGGAGCGGTCAGGAGATCAAGAAAAGACCAAAGTTAAGGTGGAGGAGACTTGGTTGAGAGAGATGCAAAACATTGGGCTGAAGATGGAAGAAATTAGTGGAGGCAGATCTGAAAAGCTGATCACCTAAGCTTTGGAATGGCTAGATGGCAGAAGGTTTTTATGTGCACACATTTGGTAATTATGTTCTGTGTTTAGTAAACCAATTAATCATTAGCCACACTGTACTGTCAATGTTTAATCTGTAAAGAATTATGCATCATATATATATAATGCATTCGCATTTATCATTCAGTCCATCAACAACTAGAATGAACTTTATTTCAGGTATATATAGTAATATGAAATTATACACAGATATTGAGATGGTGGAAATTAAACCAGTATTCTGTGGGATGCTCATTGTTCCTTTTGTCTAATACAGGTTGAACTTTGGTTTAACAGCCACTGGATTTACTGGCAACTTGCATTTAACAGTAAAATTTATAAATCCTCTACCTGCTGCAATGCTCTGTGCGCCATGTGTTGGTTTGTTTTGCATTGAAGTCCAGCCGTGCTGTGCTCATGTGATAATTTTAAATTTGTATTACTTTTTGCATCAATTATGACATCTAAGCAGCCAAAAAAGCCTACCGGAGTTGCGAGACCCAAAGAAGAAAAATGGTTTGAACATTGTGCAGAAGCTTTAAATATTACATAAACTAGACAGTGTAGTGCAGGGTTTCAAACCCATTTGCCAAGGCGGCCAGATTTAATATGAGTACATAGTATGCGGCCAAGTAACATAATTATGAGCACTTCAATCACCTCTTAGGTGATTAGTATGACAAAAAAAAACAAACAAATCAAGTGTTTACTTACCTTGATCAATCTTATTGTTTGCTGCTGCTGCTTCCTGATAATTGGCACCTCTTGGTATGGACTAGCATCAAAGTTTGGCACTAACGACTGAGCTGTAGCAAACTTCAGTATTGAATTAAGGTGCCACCAGTAAGTTGAGACCAAAGCCGAGACTTGTTCAAGTTCATCACAGAAAAGAGTTGTTCACAGACTTATGTATTCCTAACATTGACATAATTTTGAGGCAAAACATTTAATCCTGGGATAATTTGGTCCAAAATATTGATAAAATGTGCCAACATCAACACTTAAAAACTTGTTCCGCAACACAGAATCACACTGGAGCTCAATTAATTTAACTGAAACGTTCTGGTACCTCATTAACACCAACAGAGAATGGGTTCCGAAAAATGAAAAAATCTCTTCAAGTCTTTTTAAAGTCAGCAATCTTGAATTCATTCATTAATTTGGAAATCTTGATGCAGCATACTTTTTGTGTTGATATCAGCTTAAACTCAGGTGTGCTTTGCAGGACCTCAAGGTCGGAAAGTGAGAAAGATTACTCTTTGATAGTTGCCGCTCAAAAGCTGAAGTTTCACCTCAAAGGCACTTAATGCAGTCATAAAACTGTCACCAATTTATTGAGTCCTTGCATTTTTGTATTCAAGTAATTTAAGTTCTGTAATATTCACCAATGAAAGTTAGATCTTGAACCCATTCATTATCTTTCAGTTCATGCAACCTTCCTTTCTGTTCCATAAACATCTGTATTTCATCTGCAATTCATAAAATCGCTTCAGTACGACTCCTGACTTAACCAGCGTAACATCAGTGTGATATGGCAGTCCGCTTGTGTTCTCATTTTCCTCCAATACAGTTGAACTGTCTGTGGTTCAGACCTTTCGCTGCGTATGAAGTTCAGTCTTTATAACAACATCCATGACATTATCCATCTTAATGTTTTACTACACAACACTTTTTTATGTATAATACAATGCACATTATAAATTTGTGGTTCGAGTTCACAGCTATTAGTTTTTCCTTTAGTTTTGTTGCCACGCCAGCTTTTCTACTCACCATTTGTGGTGCTCCATCTGTAGCCAGACTCACAGTTTGTGCCCAGTCATCACCTAATTTATCCAGTGCCCCTACCAAAACCCACAAAGATGTCATCACCTGTTGTTGTTCCTTTCATTGGTACCAGTTTCACAAATTCTTCTGTTACCTGCATATTTTCATCCACACCACGTATAAAAAACTGCAAGTTGTGCTACATCATTTACATCGGTATTTCATCAACTGCAACTGAAAATACAGTAAAGGACTCACCTTGTCTTTGAGTTTACTATTAATATTCTCTGATAATTCACCAATTCTTTCTGCAACAAGTCTTATTGTTCTTTCATTGGTAATGTTGATTGAGTATTTGTTCTAGGAAACAGCAGACTATTTTATTCAGCTAAGGGATACACTCACTATTTAGTTTTAGCTCCTCAAGGTAAAGCTAGAGCAGCAAATGGGTCAAGGGTCGCATGCAAGAGTGTGTCTGGTCAGCAATTTTGACACCCCTGGTGTAGTGTCTGTTCGTCACCTTTGTGAAATCTATGGAGGAGGACTACACAATCTACCACCACCTGCTCAGTAGCCCACGTCCTTTATAACAACAGTCTGCAATTCATCATAATTCCCATATTATTTGGGTTCCTATGGTGCTGGGTTAATAAAACCTATTGAAAAAAATAATTCATTTCCAAAATCCCACACTCCATCCCAGGTGAGCTAATGTGTCATAGTATATTTTCAGTCTCGTGTTTACAGAGCGGTAACACTGACCCACTCTTAATATTAGTGTTGCCAGCACTTGCCATCTCTCA